TTAGAGACCCGGCCGCTATTGGAATACAGGCCAATATTAGAGAATTTACGGTATGTTTTCATACAGTCAATACCACTGAGATGAACAAAAGCAGCATTAAGTTGTTTAGTTTACCAGCTAAAACTTTATGTAAAAAGAATGAAGCCTCTGATTAAAACTGCCACTTACAAAGGAAAGAAAAAAAGGGTCAGTTTGTTCTCAACCCAAGAATTCTCATCACGTGCCATCATCGCTGCACACAAAAAAGCTGGTTTTCTTACTAAATACATGGGCAAGCCATTTCCCTACCATTAAAGTCTTATGACCAGGCAAAATACAAAGTCTTATTTTTATCAAATGACGAGAATAATGTTTGGATGAAGCAAGTGGAAGATTTTAAACCTGTGAAAACAGTCGAGCATGGTGGTGGCAGCATCATGCAGAGGGTCACACAACATGAGTGGAATAATAAAGAAATTCCAAATTCATTAACTTCACCATAAACCACTAGCCAGCTGAATTTGGAGCACAGTTCTAACTAGATGAAGGTGAAAACAAATTCTGTTTTTATTGCACTAAACAAAGTAAAGAGAATAAAGAAACAATTGTTGATCAAATGGAAAAATTTGGATTTTAACAACATGATTGAGGAGGTCGTTCAAACAATTATTGACTTGAATTGTTAATATAATAAACTGTTAAATGTCCCCTTGAATACAAATAAACATAAAGTCATATAATCCTGAATAATCAGAGCTAGTAAAAGGGTTGCAGAGTCAGTAATTAGCCCGGTACGTACACATTTCCACATCTTTAACGATGTGGAAAGGCAATTTTTAGCAAACCAATATGCAAAATGCAAGTCGTAACATGAAATTACTCCATGTACTGTGTTTGTCCTTTTGCTTTTAACAAGCATTGAAAAGACTTCTCCTCAAAGTACACACATCTAATCAGCCTGTCGCTGTAGGCTAGATCCATACCATGACTGAAGTCATTTATAACTTCAACTGCTGCTTCCAGAGAAGCAGGCCTCAAGTCGTCACTGCGTGTGAACATGTGTTTTTCTGTATCCACAGCTGACTCTTGTTCAGCCTTTATTTCATGCAAACAGCCGCATACAGCAGGTTTCTCCATTAACAGTCCCTTTAGACTTAATAGTAAATATTTATACCCCTTGATCTATTTGATGTTTTGTATACCACAAAACACACGTATATGTATGTTTTTGTGAGTTTAACACAAAGTAGAGGTTAACTGTAAAGGCAAAAGAAAAAAATTATGTGGCTTTAACAAATAGCAACCTGTTTTACTCGTGCATCCCTTGATAATATCCAGTGTAACAAGCCCTTTTCAGATGCCCTTTGTGTTTAATATAAGCTCATCATAAGGGCAGCTGGTTAGTGACAGTATGAGAGCCTCAGTCTTGACATAGAAGTGGGAGAAAGGCCACTTCTTTGCATGTAACATATAGCGAACAGGAAATTAAAAGGTACCCCCGACAAACTTCCGAGTGAAAATGGTGGAGGTAGTATCATGCTATGGGGATGCTACAGAAACTCAGAGTTGATGGGAAGCTGATTAAAGCAGAATGCTAAAAGTAAGCATTCAGCACCTACATAAATGTTTAAAAATAGGAGCTTTTTCTTCAGCAAAATAATGACTGTAAACAAAAAGTCACAACTAAGAAATAAATCATTGAAATTAGTTGAAATTAAGATCTGAATCTATTTAATTGTGTTTTAAAACTTTGAAATTTGATCTTCACAAATATTCACATTCCAATCTGAAATAAATCCAATCTGTATTTCAAATATAAGGAAAACCATTGCAATTTCAAAATGAGAACTTTAAATTATTTTACTCTTGTGGTTGACAAAAAATAATGATGCCATTCACATTTTTCAATTCTTAATATGAAAAAATCAATAAAAGATAATCTGGAATAAACAATTTAACTACCCTGTCGTATCTAAGACCCCCATTTCAATCTGAAAAGATGCATGAAGTGTAATGCTGGGCTGTCAGGTTGTTTTCTGGAGGTATAGAGTGACTGGTACTCTGCATGAGAGCAGTTATTCATGACTCAGAGATGACCTTTAGGGCAAGAAGTTTAAAGGTCAACAGAAAGGTTAAGGAGAAAGAGGAGAGCCGTGAAGTGCTGACCAACCACACTGGATAGACCCATATATCAAGCTTTGATCTGCAGTAAGATATCCCACAAATGAAAAGCACATGATCAACAGTCAATTGAATGCAAAGCATATTACATTTTCTATCTACCTTATCTGTTTTTAAAATGCTGTCTCGCAGAAAAGGACAACTTTAAACAGTCAAGAAGTAGAAGAGCAGCTTATCAGAACATTTGAATCTGTTTAAATTGAAGCTCTTGAAAAAGCAATGATTGATTTCTTTCTCTGGCCCACCCATGTTCTCACCTGTGGACTGCTGATTGGTCCAAAGTTCATGTTGGGAGTAGACTGAAGGGGTACGGAGGGTGATCCCAGAGACGATGTGATGACGGGATACGGCGATGCCAGGCCGTTCATTGGAGAGCCCAAGGTGGACATAGGGGAGGGTAAGGGCCTGGAGGTGCTGATAACTGAGGGGTGGCCCACCATGCCAACCATGGAGGGGGGGTGAGTGTGGCCCGCACTCATTGGCCCTGCCGAATCTGGATAAGATAAAAGTGCAGTGAGATAACTGAGCAGCCCACTCAAGTTTACATACTTTGACCTCATGAATTACTTATTGAACCGGACGCTTTGTATTTATCATAACTCATTCAGACTCCAGGTACCTACTAAATGATGAATCAAAGTCTACTGTTTACACATAGTTTATAATCCTTTATGGTTTTGCCTACTCGCGAGGAACACATCTCTCTTTAGCTCTACCAATCCGCTGGCTTATCCGTTATCTGGGTGAACGGTCAGTCTACTGCAGGTTTACAAGAGGTTTTAAAAGCAAAAGATGATGGAAGGGACATCCAACCAAAACAATAAACTGACAGATGCTAAAACCACTGAGCAGAAGAGAACAGAGAGTTCACATCAATATGAGTTAAATCTTTAGTGCTACCATCAGACATCGGATATAGTATTTCATCTCTAGAAAGCTAAAGTCTAGCTTCATGAACTGTTTTAACTTAAGTATCCATGTGTGCTCGCTTGGTAGTTGGGTTCGTATTTGCAGTTGGCCTTATAGCATTATAGCATTCTCTATTTACAGGTAAATGAGCAGCAGCTTAGCAGGGAAATTAGCATTTCTAATTCATAAAGTGCAGAAAATGTAAACATTCTGGGAGAAAAAACATGGTACAAAACGCATTGATATGGAAGGTCAGAGCAGTGCAAAGACAAATACTTATAGGGAAAAATGCAGTAGAAAAACCTTTTTTTGAGTTAAGTTCTTTTTTGGTTTGGTGTTGTCAGTGTGATGCAGAGTCTGTGAGTTGATTTAGAGTTTATTTCAACATTAGGCAATCTGATGGCAGTGGGAAAAAGGCTGTTGCAGAACATGTTGGTGCTGCATGGAATGATCGACAATGATCTCCTTCGTCTTCTCCACGTCCAGGAGCAGGCTGAGAGTGTAGAGTGGAGGATGTTCTTTTTCCAGGTGGATCATCAAAATAAGTGGTCCTTTTAATCAGTCACTAGTCAATCATTCTGGTGATATGTTTCTACGTAAGGCCGTCCTACATGCTCGTCCCCCTTTCCACTTAACGGTGGGGAGTCTGACGTAGTGGAAAAATTGCAAATCTTAATTTGGAAAGAAAGCTTCTATGAGCGATGCAAACAGCAACTTTTAAATAGAGCATGCATGAGGGGCAATGGGCTTGTGCATGCTCTCCCATGTGTTAATAGGCGTTTACTCTCAGGAACATGTACAGGGTTGTGATGTGCATTTTAGTTTTTTTTTTTAGTTTTTTTTTTTTTTTTAAGTTGAGAAGGCAGGTCTTTTCAAATAATCTTTATATTGTCTAAATATTTTTCTGTTGACTGTTTTTTTCATTTTTCCCCTGACAGACAGAAGCCTTCTGCATAAGTAGACAAGTTTTCTTGTCTTTTGTTTTCGAAGACTATTTATAAATGATCATTATTTTAGTATTAAAATTGTGATTCTTATTCATAGGGGTGGATCTCAATAAATAATGTCTTTGAATAGTTAATTTCATTTACTAAATTTACTTAATGGAAAATTGTCCTGGTCGTGGAATACTTGAGCAGCTCTACACCCTTAGCAAAGCGCTAGAGTCTTATCTGAACACATATCAAATGAAATATACCTGTCAAATCTGGAAAAGCTGGAAATAACTTTCCCACTATAAACCTTTTATTAACATTCTATTCATTTCTCTCTCTCTCTCTCTCTCTCTCTCTCTCTCTTTGGGCCTAATGTGAACAGAGGCAGGCCTCTCTTTGTTTCCCCTAACAAACGAGAAGACAATAGAGCCTAACATTCAAGTAAGGTATGATGTCTTAATTTCAACTGAGAAAATAAATTATTCTCTAAATGTGAGTGAGACTACAAAAAATGGTTTAAAACACTGTTTGCAAAAAGTAAGCTGGACATGCAACCAAGCTTTTTAAGATTCCTGTGACAAAAGTCTTCATGATTCCTAATAACGCTTTAAAATCAGCTGTTAACCCCAATATTCCAAATTTTTAAAAAAAACCTCTAAAACAAGAGTCTTAAGCATATTCTGGGCTCCAATAACACATTTAAAAGTCAATGAAGTTGTTTGCGGGTTTTTTTTTTGCTAAAAAACATATAGATGTTGAAAGCTTAGCAGGTTGGTTCTAGCGAATATTATTTGTCCATGACATATTAAGGTACAAAGGAAGTGTCAGGTTTGTGGATCTATGACAAAAATAAGACCTATTTTTCATGCCTAGACACAAGCGTACCTGGCCACTACAAGAACAGTAAACAGGGTACATAAAACTCTTAATCCCGCTGATAGAAAACTGAGGACATTTTTTCCACTCTATGATTAAGCAATGAATGATTAATTTGTTTTAAAGTCGTTTATATATCTTTATCAGGGCTGCCGATAAATATGGAGAGTACTGCATGTCAAGAAGATTTAGGTTCTCTTAACCATCAGTGGCTCTTTGAACAACTTCTGTTGTTAGTTGTAAAAAACTAAAAACATAACAGCTTAAGACAGAGGATTACTGTTTATAATCTTTCTTTATAACGCCGCAAGTACAGCAACTGATGATAGAGATCCTAATATTAGTTGTGGTTATACTGGGACAAAAATGCTTAAGATTATGTTGACCAAAGAAGCCATGTGTTTCTGTCTTTTTAGTGCTCAGTGTGTATGGCTACACTGTGTGAAGCCCACCTGATTTCGGTCACAGGGCGCTGACTTTCCCCTGCATCTATTGATGTAAACTGACAGGCTGGCATTTACATAGATGACCTACTTAGAAAAACTGTCAGTCAGCCAGCAAACGGGGCATGTAGTGTAATTTCATGCATGTGTTATAGATGTGGGCCACACAACTTTCAACAAATACCTACATACATGTAAAGTACAACAACAATGGGGAAAAAAATACACAAATGCCACAAGCTATCCCAATGCTGCAGCAGCTATCTAGTTTGATTTTGTTGATTCAAAGAATCGAAAGGAATAACATCGAGCTGCCTTGAGCAAAATGTAATGGATGAACAATGGCGGGTCTATTGTAAGCATGTAAACATTTGGATCAGTCTGCATAAGCTGCTCCCTGTGTGTCAGTGCCTTCTCCCACCAAACATCATAACACACACATTGTAAGCGGGATAATGGGTGCACTGACAAAGGTTGTAGTTAATCTTATGTATATATACTACGTATGTCATAGGTCTCAACAGGGGGTCCACGAAGGTACTGCATGGGGGTCGCAAAAGTTTTGGTTAATTAGACTTTTTTTTTTTTTTTTTATTCCCCCGGCAATTTTTTTCCCACTTATTGAATTGTCTTTGAATTAACATTAACATGAATTGAACACACTGTAGTAAACAGATAAATGGAGGCAAAAGATGTCTTTCCGTCATTATGGAACACATTCAGCTACACACAGGAGCTCTTTCAAGCTGGGCACCGTTTCATTCACCACACCTGTCACATCAACCAGGAATCAGAATCGGAATCAAAAATACTTTCCCAGGGCGAAACTACTTTTGTTACATGACTCCATCTGTAATAGAGTGACTAGAACTGGAACAGTTTGATATAACACAATTTCATACAATATATATAATTAGGGGGTCCCCGCTCCATCTCGCATCAGTTTTAGTGTATTTGGCCTGGAAAACGTTGAAGACCCCTGACGTATGTAGTATATGTACTGTCTCGTTTGTAGGATGTGGTGGAGTGAAAGCACAAAAAACAGTCAAAGCCATCACATATATTATTTCTGAGACAATCTTACTTATGGAATAACCTCTGCACTAAGGAATTCTGATCATCATAATGTCAAGATAACAACATCAATCTATGAAGTTGCAGGAGACCTCATGAGCTTTAGGAATTTCACTAAAACAAAATTCCCTTTCCATGTCTCAAGTTAGAAAGTTAAATCCCCAAACATGCATTGACTATTTAGGCTTTTTACTTTGTCTGTCATCAGGATCCAAATTTCAAGCTACAAGATTACATTCCGAATCACTTCATTTTCACTTTATCATTATGTCCTGTTTAAAACATTTGCACTTTTTAAGCATTTTTTTTGTAAAATGACATATTTTAAACACATTTAACATCATATAGAAATTGGGATTGGCTGCAATCATCCATCTCTCCCTCTGGCAGGAGGCTGTGGTCCATCAGGACCAAAACCTCATGCCACAAGAACAGTTTCTTCCCATCTGCTGCTAGCTTTATCAACAAGGGCAAGAGACCCCTGTGACACTGTCACTACCTCTCCACCTCCCCAGTTCAGGACCTAGAAGATACACTAACATAGCATCTCCAGACTTCTTGTATATAGCTATATACTATATATTGTATATAGCCTATTGTATGTTTAATATTTTATATAACTATAGTTTCTGTATCGAATTTGTCTGCACCATCAAACAAGTCAAATTGCTTGTAAGTGCAAACCTACTTGGCAATAAATCTGATCCTGATTCTGAAATGTGTTTATATTTGGTGTAATATATTTGGATTTTTGTATCCTAATACAAAAATCTCCAGATTAATTCTCAATTCTTTATATTGCTACTACTATTATTGCTTTTAAATGCACAAGTCTGAGCCCAACTTTAGTCGGTAAACCCATCATATTTTCGCCACTGCTGAGGCATGAATAATAACTAGAAAAATAGTGTATCCAAGGATCTGGAAAGCATATAAATAAGAGCTTTCTGTCATATGCAATGTTGGAAGCAATCGATTTAAAAGTAAAGTCTTATATAAATGGTTTTCTGACCTCTACTTGAGCCACTGGCAGTTATGCACCTTTATCCGCTTATATAGTTGGAAAGATGTTATTATTTCCCTACTTAAAAGTTATGGGCCGTTTTATTTTATCTGGAGGGATTGCAACCCAAAAAACGAAAACAGAATCCAAGAAGTCATTTCTTGCCCAGAGGTAGAAGTTTTTCCAGACACAAAACACTGGATGATTTGTCAAATTCTGAGAAAACCCCCAAAAACAGTTACGTTTTTTTTTT